GATATTTATATAACCCGCTCACCTTAACTGCATCAAAAAGGTAAACCTAAACCTCGCTCCGCTTTAACCGACCCGTACATAAGGCAATTTTTTTTTTACTAACGCTAATTCTTAGAATTCTTTGGTTGTTACAATTTATGATTGTCAGAATGCTGTAAGTGTTTATCACGTGAATATAAAAAATTATTTGGCAATCCTGGGGAAGATAACTGTTTCTCAGAGGTGTCAACTATAATAGATTTAAGCCAGCCGAATTTGAGATTAAAAAACTTTAAATTTGGCTAACCAATCTGCAAATCTAACCGAAATTATAATTGGTTTTACTATGTATTTAGACCAAAATCAAAATTAGCTTAAATGCTTGATAATTTAAGTTATAAAAATTGGTGTAAAAAGGCTTGTACCAATTAAAATATCAAAACTAGCATATTTAAAAATTTTTTCTTGGTGGGTATTCAAAGTTTTAAAGAACATAGGTTAATCAATACCGTCAAAATTTAAATATTTAAAAAAAAAATAAATTTCAAATACAAGTAAAAAAATCTTGAACACAAAATAACCTTTTTGAAACTAGTTATAACGGGAACCAGGTAAATTTTTATATTCATATGTTGAAACATGATATTTATTTCATGTAACACAAATAATAGTTGCCATAACTAATCAATTGAACACCCCAAAGTGTCCTTTGCTATACTATCGTTCATTATTTTATTTATTTAATGTCATCCAGCTGTTAAATGTAACAAAACACGTGCCCGTGCCTATAACACCTATAACAAGAATACACCATTTTTTCTATGTCTGAATTTGGAGTTCTTTTGCGTTATCTATAAATTCTGCGTTTACATAAATCCATATGACGTGAACCTAATACACCATTTACTTTCCATCTTCGCGATTTGTTATAATTTTCAAAATGAGATCCTGGATAATTTTGGCTATAAAAGTAAAGGAAGAGTAACATTTTTAGTGATATTGATTATGTATATAAACAAAGTTCTCATAAAATGGTGATAAAAATTAATAATAACCCTGTTTATTGATATGCAAATCGGATTATTATTATTTTTTAATAATATTATAAGGTATATTTTGGGTTCCAACGTTTCTAAAAATAATACGTCGAAACCCAATTACTATGATTACATAGCTATTCAGAACATTATGATCATTGTTTGATTGCCTTTTTATGAGAACTCTTGGATCTATGATACCAGGTTTGTCCTTTTGGACTGGTTCGTTTCCAATAACTTTCATGTACCTTAATACTTGTTGCTTCGCCGATGACAAAATATTATTTAACATTGTAATCTTCGGACACTTTTCATCCTTTGCCCAAAACATAATGTTTCTTGCCAGGAGTGTGGCCTCATTTTCATTCTCAATCAACTTATCTAATTGTATTAGTTCCTCAGTTGTTGGTGAAGTGTTCCAATTGTTTTTGATTCCTCTGATTAAACCTAGTATGTTTATATATTTTAATTCGATTATGAAATGATTTTTGTTCCCAAAAAAAAATATCAGTAAACCCATATCTACCATCGTATTTGGGTTTAGTGGGATTCATCACCAAGCATAACTCAGAAACCCTATTATTGGGTAGTAGAATTTCTGTAATGGCCTGAAGTACTGCTTCATTTGCTGTCCATAGTGAGTAACCTGACCTTGATTTTAAAAAATCGATTAATATTTCTTTTAATAAAACAATATCGTCAAGGAGTCGTTTAATAGAATTTTTCTTGATAGATTTTTTGATAGGATTTTCTTCGGTAGATACTGTCTTGGTAAAGTTTTTGAAAATATGATTCTGATTTTGAATCTTTTTTTTATTTGGGTTCTCTTTATTCGAATCTTGATTTTGTCTTCTTTTTTTAACATTCTCTTTATCACTTGAATTTTCATGAATGTACTTTCTTTTTTTATTGTTCGCCTTTTTATTTTCCTTTTTTTTTTGCTTATCTATTTCTTTTTTTTCTGTAAAAAATGAAAAAAAATATTAAAATTAAAGCACAAAAAATACTAATTTGTAAGTTCTAAGTTTCTTTGTTTTTGTAAAAGGCATGTTACCAACCCTAGCTTCAGAGTTAGTAGGTCTCTTAATAAAAGGGATATCTAGGATGCTGGTGCAGAGGACCATACCCCTATTGTGACTTCTGGTCGCAGTGCGAAGCGTTAGTCACACGCCCAGTTCAGCACTTGTAAGTATTCAAATTAGAACGTATTACATATAGCAATAAGGTTTACCAGAGCCTGGTAAAGACAGAACCTTCTCTGAACAATACATATAGAGTATCGAATAACATATATAGAAATTATATTAAATGTGTTTTAAAGAATAAAGTAAAAAGGTTTACCTATAGAAGTTATATTATATAAATTTTTAAAAATAAACTAATAATTGTAAAAAAGTTTATATATTTGAATAACATGTGTAGAAGTTATATTAAATAAGTGTTTTAAAAAAATAAAATTAACAATTATAAAAAGTTAATACATGTATAGATGTTATATTAAGTGTGTTTTAAAAAATAAAGCTAACAATTGTAAAAAGTTTATAGAAGTTACTAAATGTGTTTTAAAAATAAAGCTAACAATTGTAAAAGCTTAAAGTTATATTAAGTGTATTTAAAAAATAAAGCTAAAAATTAAAGCCAATATATATATAACCTCTTTATATATCATTCAGGTTCTTCAAAACCTCATCCTAAATATATTTCATTTAAAAAAAAAGATGTATAGAACTTACTTTCATCCTTTCTCCCAAAAGTCTTTTGGCAATATGACATAGTTTATGTGAATTTTCTTGATTATCTTTTATTAATGTCAAGGCTTAATAAAATATATTTTTGGTGGTTTTATTAGTTATGTTATCTACCCAAGCTTCGTAATGGTCTTCCGACCAATATTTAGAAGCAAAAAGTTCAAAATATTTTGTAAATGGTAATTTTCATGTTTTAATTTTGTCAAGTGCTATTGCAAATATTGTATAAAAAATTTAACTCATATGACAAAACAAATGTATTTCTAAAATTTATTTCTGAGATTCTATAATATATCTCCAACCATTTGCTTTGTAAGCGTTCACTAATCTTCTTGATTCCATATTTAATAATCAAATTTTTTAAAATTTGGATGTCCTTTTCTTTCATCTTAGTATAATAGAAAGTTTAGTGAAAATAAAAAGCATAGATATCATTTATCACGTGTGTTTCGTATACCTTATAGTAGAAGTGGTGACACAGTTTCACTCTATTTTTGTACATTCTATTCTGGATAATTAATATATAACTTAAAATGTTTTACAGAGCCTTTTGTATATCTTGCATGGTTAGTAAATTGTAAATAATAAAAAAACTTAGCCAAATTATGAATAATCAAAAAATCTTTAAACCATAAAATCGAAACAATTTTCGATATTTTATATAGAGTATAACATAGAATAGATGCAACAATAGCATCATCACAGTCTTTTAACCTTAATGTATCAAAGTGAAAAGAGAAGAATGAGCTCATAAATAATTCACAATAATGTGTATAAATTTTAATATATGCTGGTTTATATGACAAGGAGTTTTAATATTATGTATATATATGTAGCATATTTAACACAAGCGATAAATTAAAGTCTGAATATTTTAATTACATCATAAAACTGTCGAGTATATAGCAATAGTAAATATGTTAATAAAGTAGTATATATAGTAAAAGAAATTCTTTGGAATTTTACCAATAAACTATACTAGCCCTAATATAAAAAAAGGGCAATATTAGCACTTTAACCCTAACTATTAAAAAGGAAGATAAAATTTTATAAGTTTTGCTTACATTTATATGTATATTTATACAATACGTATATACGTACATACATATTTCTGTTTATATTATCGATATTTTTTTTTTACAAAATTGTCATATCGCTGATTAGAAAAAAAAAAGTGTTACAATACAATTATGCAATATGTAGATCAATATATGAATCTGCTCTGCTTTAAAGATAATACATATACTTAAAAAAAAATAGCCAATCAGAGAGTGCAAACTTTGACTATTCTGAATCAACTCGAACACGTGTAAAAGAAAAAAGTGAAATACTAAACTAGAGTTTAAATTACCTTGGTGCACTAATTAAAAATATTAGGAATGAAATTTTATATATAATGAGTATTAATCACATATAATGAGTGTTAATCTTTTTTATAGCCTCTCATGTTAAGGCCTTAACTCTAAATTTCTATTTTACACAGAATCAGATTCCTTCTTTTGGTTTGTATTATTCGCAAAAATAAATAAAACCATTGGAAAAGATATATGATTGTCATAGAAGGAATAGGAGAAATTTCGTCTGATTGGCTGATATAAATCAATTGTCTGAATAATTTTATTTATATACTTTAATATATTTACTATTCACAGCTTTAGAAGCAGCATCAATCTACTATATATTACTAAAAAGTTATGTGTTTGCAATATTTAGCTTTTTGATTGGCTATTTATTAGCTGTTAATTATATGAATATGTCAAGTAGCAAAACACGTGCAGAATTTTATTTACTGTGCAAAAGAATCAAAAAAAAATATTATACTTCTGGTAAACTTCATTTAAAAAACAAATATATCTACCGTTTATTAGACAATCTTATGTTAAAAAAGATAAATAAAAATATTTTTGTTTAAAATTACCTTGTTATGTTAAATTTAAAAAATTTTATTACTATCTATTGGATTTAAATAAGTTTATTGTATAAATATGTTTGGTTCTTGTATTGTAGTTTGGTCTATTGATTACAATAAGTTTTGGTTTATCATATAGACCAATTTGACTTTTTACAATAATATTACATATATAATAATTAGTTGTTTAATATTTAAATACATATTAGATATCAAATATTACACAAGAATTAATTATCTAAAAGATTATGATAAAAAATTCAAGATTTTAAAAAATTTAAAAAAATTTATTTTAAAAAATGAGTACATTTATTTATCGCACCCTGCGATGTCACAAATTTACTGCCTCTCACATGATTAACCAATCAAAATTTAAGATCAGGTGTAACATAGCACAATTAGAAAATTCAAAACAAATGTTCGCTTTGTCAAAAATTGTTTATAACACAAAACTTCATATATGAAACCACTCTTCGTGTTCTAACAAAAAAATTTTCTCCTAAAATTTTACTATAAAACCTCTTTTGAAGCCCATAAACTACCCTTACCTCACCCTAACCTTAACTAATGAAAAAACTGGTTGTTTTGATTTCACATTACATCTGATTTTATGATCTGCAGGGATGCGGCAACATCGCAGGGTGCGGTGTATAAATTGTCTCTTAAAAAATATTACTTTTATACTTAATAATTTTAAAAATATTTATTTCATAGTGAATATTTCAAAAAATTATTTTATACTGTAATAAATATTATTTGAGAATATAATTTACAAAAGATTTTAATAAACACTTTTAAAATATTTTATAATCTTTCTATCTAAAATAATAATAATTTTTGTATTTTAATAAGTAGCTTAAAAGTTTTGTATACAAATAACTTAATAGACAATTCATCTATTATCTAAAAAAAATTTGCAAATTTTATAAATAAATTTTATTATTGAGTTAAATATAAAAGAAAATTTCTAATTTGCACCACAGGTGATTATCACCTGTAGTAAAATTATCTTAAAATTTTGCTTATGAAACTACTTTTGAAGCTCTAAGTAAAAAAATTCCTTGTGAAATTTTACTATAAATTTTACTAAACTCTAACTCTAATATAAGCTTTGACCTTTACTCTAAAGTCCCAAAAAAAATTTTTTTTATTTATTAAATTGTTTATTTATTTGTTACATGAATTATTGTCTGGAGCAAAGCAACAAACTCATACTTCTATGTCCTTTGATGACTGAAATTACATTTTTGATATATTTATAATCTAAATATCAACAACGTAGTTGTTGCATTTTCTAGATATAACACTGCGTATCTTTATTTGAATAGTCATGTAACAAAAATCGATTATATGTTTAGCAACCAATTATACTAGCAGAATCATTTCTTTTTTTTCATTTTAATTTTTATTTTGATCTTTTGATCTTTTTTTTTTTTATTGCGATCTTTTTGTTATCTTTTTTTTATTGCGTTCTTTTTTTTTTTTTTTTTTTTTCGATTTTTTTT